TCAATGACCAGTTCCTCCACTTCGATGTAAAACTCTAGCATTGTCATCAGAGTATCAATGGTTCCTCTTTTCCTCGACAGCACCCAAACGTATGGATTACTAACTGCTTAACAAGGCGCAGGCGTTGGCCCGGTTTCGAGATCCAGTCATACATAGGCTCAATTTCTTCACAGTCCATGTGCAGCTTATCGTTAGTTGGTGACCAATGCCGGCTTGGAGTTTGATCAGAATTTTCGAAGTCGATGCCCCATAACTTGAGAGTTTCGTAGCGCGATTCTCGACATATCCAAAGGGTAACGGGGCTCATGTCCTCTAAGATAGGATACGGAATATGTTGCATGGAGTATGGTCTCCACTGCCGGAAAAGCCACATTAGAGGCAATCGTGTTCTGGGCAGAATCAACTGCCATATCTTTGTTCGTAGCTCAGCGGGGAGCTCAGAGAATCCGGGAAAGAGTTGTGGGACTTTCGACAAATTTGAGAAGGGATAGCTTTCTGAGAGTTGTTAGTATGTTTCAACGAAAAAAGGAAAACGAGAGGACTATCTTACGTTCTTGCCTATTCCTCTTATGCTTTTCACTAAAGCTTTTGTCCTCCTGCCAGCGCTTGAGTTGCTGAAAAACACGTTCGAGCGCGGTGTCTGGTTGTGGTTGCGTATTGGTCCTTGAGCAAATCGACATCGCGAATATTTGCAGGTTCAAGTACTGAAGTGATAAGTTGTACTTGAATAGTGTTGTGTGTAACTGAAAATGTTCGGAATTGGGCGGTCAATGGTTCTTTTATGTATGCGCATGAGCATCTGGACTGACTTCGCATCTGGACTAAAGGTATTCGCTACCATATCTCCACATTATGTTCATGCTAGGAACTTTAGCGGATGCACTATGGTGCGGGCGGAAGCTAGGCGATGTGACTCATGTGAGGTGAGTTTGGCATAGCGGTCTAACAATGAATACCTAACGCACTTGGCTTTTTACTGTTCTCACTCAACCCCGTCTCAGTTCCTCCCACCCAACTCTTGACATCTGCAATCTCTCCTCGATCGCCCTTAGCCTGTTTCCATAATCCCTCACCATGCCCATCATATCACTAGTCTGAAAATGCATCTCCGTAACCTCCACCGCTATCCTCCTCGTCTGAATCTTCTGCAACTTCTCCGCAATACTCTGCACACCTCCCTTGCTCCTCAACCACAACACCCTGTGAAAAAAATCGCACCTATAATACTGCTGCGTTGCATCAAAGCTCCACTCTAATTCCTTCTCTCTCCCCGTATGATCCGTTTCTAAGAAAGGTCGTTCGTAAGCTTTGAATTCTCGAATCAGGTCTTTGACGGCATCATTGATCACTTTCGTGGGTCCGCCTTCGTTGTAGATTGTTGCTCGATTTTTGGAGGATGAGAGGCCTTCGGAACCGAGTCCTTGGCGCCGTTTGCGTTTGAGGTATTCGCGTTCTTCGTAGAGGGCTTGTCGCAGGTTGGCGAGGGCGTCTTGGAGTTGATTGGGGGCTTGGCCGAGTGTAAGGAATGATTCCCAGAATGCGTGGAGCCCTATGTAACGGGATAATTAGCAAATGCTTGATCTGGATTGCTCCCGGAGATTTGAGACATTGTCTCAAGAAAGGGACAGGACATAGGATTCCAAATACCTACAGATGGCGAGCGTGAAGCTGAAAGATATGAAGCCAATTACAATTGAAGCAACACTAATGGGAGCAAGAGCGGGCATATCTGAGAGGGTTGAAGGAGGGCCATGTGAGATGGTGGGGTATAGAGGGGTGGTTTTGGAGGATGCGGAAGCACGGATGGGGAGAAAGTAAACAAAAGAACGAGAGAGGCGGGGTGAAATTGATTTAGTGGTTCTTGCGAAATAATTTTAGCTGCCAGCTTACTGTACTTCGTACATTGTGCCTTGCCTTGCGGATCATTAGCTTCATGCCGCCCCTTCGTGCTTCTGAATGCTTGGCGAGATTGAAGCCAATGCAGCTTTCCGGGTCCGCCGATTCTGCCGGAGACTCGGTGATTCGGCTCCTCTAGGCGAGCTGCAGCGCATGTGCATCGCGGAGAATAGGGTAGATCCGATGAAGAAATGCAGGCGCTTGCCTGTGAGCGAGGAGCTGTGACCAATATCCAAAGTCGATTTCAAAATGTCACTGAGAGAGTAGGGACATGCAAAAACTTTTACATTTTGTGTCTCTACTCCGAGTTGGTGGTACATGCTAGCAGGTTTCTGCAGTCAGATATGGTATCTCCAGAAAACTCCTAAAAATCAGTCGTCCTCCTGAACCAATTCCTTGATCTCTGATCCGAGAACGCCGCCTGCCATATCGCTTGGTACCGAAATTCCAGCAGATTTTGTGACCCCCGTTCCGCTAACGCCACCATCCTGCATCCAGAAATCAACCTCATCGACAATATCGTACACAATGTCCTCCACGATTTGCTCATCGTATCGCTCACCGACTGCTCGAAGCTTTTGTTGATCAGGAGTCGTGGTAGTAGGTTGGTCGCTGCCAATCATGTCTACCTCGTCGTCTTGATCCTCAAATCCTGGTGGTGGATACCAGAAATCGGGGCCGAAGTTTACCTCTGAAGCACCACCTCGGAAGACCGAGACTGCTGGATAGTAGCCTAGCATGCCATCATCCAATCCCTCTCTGGCTCCAACTTGTGGCAATGGCTTCGACGCTGGTGGAAGGAAGGCGAGGAGGTTGGTGAAGGGTGTTCCGATGAGCTGTCCATTCTTGTAAATCTTGATACTTGAATGGGGTAGTGTGCGAAGAGCAGGGACCGCATGAGTGGGATATGGTTCTTGTGAAGCGCCGCCCACTCCACCCGAGGAAGAGATGACTGGTGAGGGGTTCATCAATTCTTCCAGCTCCTTCGTGGAGTGGTACTCAATTTGCTCGAAGTAGAGATGCGCCTTGAAACGAATCGGTACTCGATCGCGAATGATGTCTGCCCGCTCGATGCCAGTGTTTCCCTCGTCTGCCAGATCAACCGCCGGATTGTAGTGACCCTCAACAACCTTTCGGTGAAGAGACTCGGAAGGAAGGTTGATCTCAAGTCCAATCACATCACCCTCTCGAATATCCTCGCCTGGTGGAAAGAAGTCCTTTGGACGAGACATATGCACCTTCTGACCCTTCACATCTCGCAAACCGTAGCTATAGGCATCGAATCCAACAGGCGCATCCAGCGTAGCTTCACGTCTTGCCCAACCCATGCGAACATGACCATTGTCCGACTCTGGGGCGTGCGCATCACTGCGCTTTCGCTTCGGAATACCGCTGGTGATCTTACATTCCCAGTAGTATCTGCCTTCGCGCACGCATACATTGCCCTTGGCCATTCGGAAGCCCTTGTCTGTAGTGATGTGACGACCACCCTCATCGAGGAACATATGTGTAGAGGTATCTTCGAAGTTCAGGCGGGGATAGAATGGTTCGGTTTCGGATTGGCGATAGTAGAGAGAGGATGGGAAAGCGGGGTCTGCAATGCAGTGGGTATAGTGGAAGTTCTTCTTATTGTAGACACTAGAAATGTTAACACAGAACTGAAGGTGTGACGGCGACTTACTGGTCAGTAGTCTCGTTAAATTGGATTTTTGTGCCATCTGGAGCCGTCTTGATATGCGCAGGAATGAAGACTGGACCTCGAGGTGCTTCGAAATCTGTAGATTTCGGAGGAGGGAGCTTATAGCGAATTGGCTCCAGGCGCTCCTCATCCTCCTTCTTGCTCTTCGAAGTGCTTGCCTTGGGATCTGGAGTCGCTCTCGCACTAGTATCCGGCGCAAGGGAACCTGCCTTGGATTCGCGTTTCTTCAGGGACTCTTTCTTCGCTCTCGATGCGCGCTCGCGAGCGAGGGGCGCATCATCTTTGGACTTGAAATCGGGGTTCAATGGAGAAGAGACTGCTGGCTGGTGGTCGTCCTCGAGCGCACGCTTCTGCGGGACGGAGACTGGAAGAGTACCTGTGGGTGTGGCCTCTCTTTGAGGAGAATCCTCGCCTGCGGACATATCTTGATTCCTCGCACTGCGCCGAGGGGGTTCGACGAAGGTCTCCTCGTCGAGCGATGGCCGCCCAATCGTGAGCTTGATGCGCGCCATCTTGGCGTGCACGGACCAGGTCAAAGTATGGCGGTGCTGTGGCTTGGTTGTTATATCCGTCAAGTCCGAATGTTGGGGAAGTCGAAGATATCAGAAAATATTTCAAGGCGTGCAGTAAAAGTTCGTTAAGACTTTTATTGCGCGATGTTGGGAAATATGAAGCATTCACCTGTTGTCAATTTTGAAGAGTTGAAAGTGAATCTCTACTGCTTCATCCCAAGAAAGAACCGAAAGAGTGCAAGCGGTTCTCAAGAACCACCAGAACCACAGTAAAGATTGCCTTTTGCTCTCATTATTCAATCATTCTGATTTCCGCATAACCTTTTCCAAATGTAAAACATCCAGTATCACTATCGTTCAAATCCAGGTGGTGTGGTCTACTGTCCCGAGTTGTTAGAGTCTCTGCAAGCTACACAAAGCAGCTTTGAGTTCAAGCTTCAATCTTCACCATGCCATCTACCTCCTCTACATGGACGCAAAGGCAAGTCGTGGCATCATAATTAACCATCAAGCCCAGCAGCTCCTTTGTACACCTGCAGCTGCGCAGAGGCAGAAATAGCTTTCACCTGATTGATTTGCTTCTCTGGCAACTCTTTGGAAAATTTCCTGTAAAGGCACCAGAGTGCTTCGGTGCCCCTTACAATGTTAACAACTCAAGCCGAAAATCCTGCAACATACGGTAGATTATCTTATGAAATCTTTTGGTTGTTAGGTTCGCTCATGAGGGGAAGGGGCGAAAGGGGCAAAGCTAACGCTCGCTTAGCTCCAACGGTGGACAATTTGCCGAACCGGACCGCCACCAACAGCAAACCGCACAACTTACTCAAGACACCACCAAAGCAAAAACATATATCCAACAACACAACAAAAGGATGCAAGAGCAAAAAAACTAACTCCCTCGGGTGGGCTCGAACCACCAACCTCTCGATATTCTGCTGCATAACAGTCGAACGCGCTAGCCAATTGCGCCACGAGGGATTCTGACTGTTGTTGGATGCCATTTTTCTTATTTAAATCTATATCACCTTTTGCTAAAGCCGACTAGCAAGAGACTGAGATCCCGCTAGGCCATATACGACTAGCCAGAAGTTTGTTATTGCGGCGCCGCTATATCGTAAAGCAGCGGGTAGCTCAGCCCCCTCAATTTCACTTCCAGATCTCGCTTAGGACAACAGATCTGAAGAGCGTCAAATGTGCTTTCAACGCAACCTTCACCACTATTCAAGCATCTTTCATTAGTTATTCTTTATGCTTAATACAGTTGGCAGATACTGAGTATTCCTCTTTCCTTCATAACATTTCAAGGTTTACATAGCTACATTCTCTGACTGGACTATCCGAACACTTGCAAGTACATGCCAAGTGGTTATTGCAACACTAGATCTACTACCTGTTGTTTTACAGTCTCTCTCATTACTATATCACTTGCAAGTTACGTATTTTCGGCAAATGTGGAAGTCATGTCACGTGGGTATCGGCCCCTTCTGCTGGAACTTGGTTGACAAGATTTTGCAGAAAAGAATATTGGAGAATCGACTGGAAACCACTCTAAGTTGCCTGTTTAAGGCATCCAAGCGACATTTGGGGGCCGCATAATGAAGCAATTTCAGCTCACTTGCTCTCGACAAAGCTATGCGCACGATATAAGGTTTTCTGCTGTCTGTACAGTATTAGAGAGTCTAAGATCGATATTAGACAGACCAACATCTTTTTCGAGAGTCTAATATCGCTAGGACGCCCTAGCTTTGTGATGATTTGCAGTAACCAAGTGATTTTCACAAGGCAAAGCGAAATGAGCAGCCCTACGTGATACTGTGCTCACATATGGGTCTAGCACAAGGTTGCCAAGCTTGCACCAAGTTCTCGAGAACTTGCTGAACCTTGTCAGAGATCTTAGTTTCTTCAAAATGGTTCTATTAACCAGGAGTGTTCTATTCTTTGATATCCTCTCAAAAACTTTTCAGGTCTTGCCCATTCTGTCATCCACCCAAGTTCCACGGAGTGCAAATCTAATAGCCAGATACATAGAATGCGGGGTCTCCGCCAAAATTTGTGTTTCCTGCGACTTTGCCCTGCCCTGCCATGCCTCGGCTCCGTCAGGTAGCAGGTCACAGCTTGTGATAAGCTTCAAGGAGCTTTCATCTAATTTCGAATTCGCTACCCCGCGCTTTCGTTCAGCCTTATACATGAGTTAACATTTTGAACCTGGCTTCGGTAACTACCCGAAGTATCCAGTAAGCCGGCGCTTGTCAACACGAATACGCGATACCATGTCGTACCTGTCTGCACGGTGCTGATCTTCTTTCCTTTTGTTGGCGAATGCCGAGATTTCAAGATGGTCGTCATGAGAAAGTACAAATCTTGATGGGACTTTCATTTATTCTTGCTGCAACGAGAGCATGTGCCTCGGTCACACACCCAGGGGCAGGTGCAGAGATGAGAACTTCAAAATACATGCCGGGCATTGATCAAGATATATGATGAGGTTCAGTAGCCTCGTCCCAAGTTTTCAGATTGGGCATTCTAGCTTCATACTTCTAGACTCAATCTTCGATCATGACTAAACTCATCTCTCTCGTAGGTTGCGTTCTACCTCTGCTCTTGAGTTCTGTTTCTGCCTCCACAACATGTGAAACAATCGCAGCAACGACGAATATCACAATCGAGTACCCCCTATCCCTCTCCTACTCCAGTGACCAATTCGAATACTGGTCCTCTGATTGTGGTCGTCTTCTACCCTCATGTATCTTCGTCCCTAGCACCTCCTCCGAAGTGAGCACCATCATCCAAATCCTGAACGCAAACAACGAATCCTTCGCTATCAAAGCCGGAGGCCACAATCCAAATCAGTACTACTCGTCTATTGATGGCGGACCGTTGATTAATCTAAAGGGTCTGAATGAAGTTGTGTACGATGCCGCCACTGGAACAGCGAAAGTTGGACCAGGGAATCGATGGACGGATGTTGTGAAAGCTTTGGAACCTGACGGGGTGACGGTTGTTGGGGGGCGGATTGGACATGTTGGTGTGGGAGGATATATCTTGGGTGGTGAGTAATTGCCTTCTTTTTCTTGTATTGTGGTAATTGGAAGGGGGCTGATGAAAATAGGTGGATTGAGCTATCTAAGCACGCAGTACGGATGGGCTATGAATAACGTCGCTGAATTCGAAGTCGTGCTCGCGAACGGGACAATCGTCACTGCTTCCCCCTTTTCAAACCCAGAGCTCTACACCGTCCTGAAAGGCGGTGGAAATAACTTTGGGGTTGTAACAACTTACACCCTTTTTACTCATCCCATTGGAACAGTAAGGCTTCCACTCCCTTCCTCACTTCCATAATGACAAAGTGTTAGATCTGGGGAGGCATCTTGATATTCGGCTCCGACAAAACAGAGGAATTGCTCCTCGCTATCAGGAATTTTACCGCTGAATATGAAAACGAAAAATCGGCTATCATTGCTACGAATGAGATCACGCTTGCAACTTTAGTAAATATCTGGGCCATTTTCCTTTTCTACGATGGGGCGGCACCTCCTGCGGGAACATTCGATATGTTCACCTCTCTGTCACCTACGTTGGATACTACCGGTCCTCAGAAGTAAGTGAACAGCAGCACCCAATAATTTGACACTGTGGAATTTGCACATCTTGGACATACTTTGACTGACTCCCGACCGTCAGCTACTCCGCCTTCGTCTCAGCTGAAGATAGTTTGGTAATCACAGGCCAAATCTACACAATCATGACTGAGATGTCTCCTCTCCCAGACACAACGAACGGATACGAAGTCATGAAAGCATACCACGACCAATGGTACAACGTCACCATGTCCAACGCTCTAGTCACCGGCCTTGTCGCGACAATGGCCTGGCAACCCCTTCCAAAGCGCCTCGCTGCTCACGCCCTCTCCCAAGGCGGCGATCTCCTCGCCCTCTCTCCAGATGTCGATAGGATATTGATGGAAGTCGATTTCTCATACGATCTTCCAACCGACGATACGCAAATCAATGCCGGAGTGAAAGAGATATTCACAGGATTGAGGAGTTTGGAACAGGGGTTTGTCAAAGAGGGGAAGTTGGAGGATGCGTACGTGCCGTTGTTTATGAACGATGCGAATTTCCAGCAGGATTATTGGGGGAGGTTGAGCCCTGGGACTGCGGAGTTTGCGAGAGCGGTGAGGGATGAGGTTGATCCGAGGGGATTGTTTAGGGAGAGGACGGGAGGGTTTAAGATGTGATTGTTGAAGCTTGGGAGGAGGGCGGGCTGTTGGGTGAGGCTCCGGGAGGATTGCGATATAATAGTGGTATTTGGAACGGAAACAGAAAGCCAGAAGCACTAGGAGATTCTTTTTGCATGCTTCTTCGTGGTGTTAAAAAAAAGAGCGATACACCAAAGTACCACTAAATTAGGTACATTCACCAAGACTTGAGAAAACGACAGCCAATGAGCCAGGTATCAATCGTGATTTCCCAAGTATGTCATTGTTGCTTACTCGAGCTCAATCCTACTCTCCTTCCCTTTTCAAAGCCCTAGAAAGAGTAGGACAATTACCTGCTATGTTCCGACTATTCTGCAGGTCGGAAGGCTTCCAAATTGACGTCGGCATACACTTGAGATGCCCTTCTTCGAAGCGGGATTCTGACCTTCCACTCTGTCGCCTAGCTGCAGTGCAATACGAATTTTTTTAACCTTCATCATTGGCTATGATAGAGTCCTTTGCTCTTTGATCAACAAAGTATTTTGAGGGTTCCATCTAAGGTCCATGTTGCCAGATGAGAGTTTTTCAAATGTTGATCAGCACTGCTTGAAACAATCAATCTTCATCGTCCAGCCCCTTTCCTTGCCCCGATTATTTAGCGAGCAATCTTCTACCGGTAGTGTCACACGACAGCTAACCATTCTATTATTGCCGTCTCCAGGTTACAGAAAGTCATCAAACTTGTCTTAACTTGCTGATCCAGATGCAATTTTTAGAAAGGACTTCGTCATCTGCAATCCCCTTTCTGGCCCCCCTTTTTGAAATGCAGCAATTTACCCGTCTTCAGCCTTTTTTGATAGCCCCTATTTTAGTGCGACCCACAGAGGTCTTAAGCTTACCTCCGTTCACGTGATAATTGCTTCCATTCCTTCGAGAATGCGGGTTCTTTGCTCTTCACGCCTCTTGCGCAATCAAGGAAGAAAAGACGAGATGCACACGTCCTTATCTGTCCCAGCCACATTTTACAGATTTGGTGGCGTTGAACCCGTTTTATTTCAAGATTTCTACAATAGTGTCTCATTTCGGGCCCACCCTGAAGAGACGCTCGCCCGGGCAGAAGCGGGCAGAAAATGGCTGCTGATTGGTGCGAAGGCTAAAATTATACCCACTGCGGCGAGCTCGCTAGATTGGTAGATGATAGGCTTCACCAAGCCTTCTGGAACCCTTTTTTTCTCTCCTTCTAACAGCTTCATCACGTCTGGATCCTATTCACTGTGTATCTTTCCCAGATTACTCTCCTTTTTTTGTACAATGATTTGATGTCTTCCCGAATGATTCTCAACAGTGCGTCCAGTATGCTCCCCCGCACACCTCTGCATCGGTGGCTCGCCGTCGCCTTCTTCGTTCTTGTCATTGTCTGGTATCACCCCAACTTCAGCGGTTCATCGATAGGAGATTCCAGCTCGACGACCGGCTTTTCCGGCAATGGAGTCGACGACCTCACATACGTTAGAAAGCTGCTGAAGGACAACAAGATTGGGCCCGAGATCGAATATGCGGCGCGCACCATTCGATATGTCCCTGATGCAACACAGCGAAAGTCCATCACCGAAGTCAACCAGAACCTCTTCCCACAATCGTTCAAAAACATCACAATCAGCAAGAATCAGAATCTGCCATCCAGCAGGCTGCTCGATATCCACGTCAAGCACTCTCCACGACCCGATCAAGTCGACGCGTCCGACCTGATCTTCGGTGTCTCCACCACTTATGATCGATT